CTTGTATTTCAGATATTTCTTTTTTTAATTCTAAATTTGCATTGTTTTAAGCCTCTATTAATTTTTAAAGACATTCAGATTCTTATTCTTGTTTTTTAAATTAAGACTAATTTTCTTCAATTATTGTTGAGACTTTCTCATTCTGTGCCTAAAATTTGATTTCAAACTCTTCTTCAAGCTTCTTTAATTATTCATCAATAATTGAAGATTTTCGAAAATTTTTCATGTCCTTATTAACCATACTAAGTTCTGACTTTAAATCATTTATTTAACAAGTTAATCTATATTAATCAGTTGAAATGGAGCTTTATACTTCAGCTAAACTTAACTAAGATTTGTTGCTTGCATCATTAATTTATAAACCCAATTCTAATTTTTGTTATTGTAATTATTAATCTATTTATTATGATAATTATTCTTGTTTTATAATCTTTTGGTCCAAAGTTGAAAAATTAGTGTTTAAATTTTCCTCTAAATTTTAAATTTTTTATGAAATTAATTTTCTTTCTTCTTTTTCGTCTTATATCTGAAGTTGCAATTGTTCCTTTTATGATGACATCTCTATTAAATTTTATTCTGTTTCATCAACCATGATTAATTTCTCCATTTTCTTCGAATTTATTTCAAATTGTTAATAATATGTCTTAATTAATTCAGTCCTTGGTAATTCTGCATCTGCTTTGCCTTCTTAATCAATAATTTAATTTATTTATCCTTTTTATTTAAGAGTTTCTTATTCTTTCAATAATTCTATTTATAAATTAACTGATTCATTAAATATGTTTAAATATTGATCTTATAATTAGCATTTTGAAATAAATTCATGTATTTCTGGACTTATTTTATCTTCCTGTATATCATTTATTTTGATTTGATTTGAATCTATTGATAATTAAATAACTACCTGATAATGTCAGAATTTTTATTAATTATTACTTACAAAGCAAATCGTGTTTGATAAGAGAATCTAATTTATATTTTATGTCCTAATAAAATAATTAATCGAGTCTATCTTATTTCTCTTATTGTTCCAATATTTTCTTATTTTGATCTTTTTAACTCAATAAATTAATCATGTTTTCAACTTATTTTTCATCTAACTCAAATATTTTTTTATTCTCTAATTTAATGAAATCTTAAATATCTGAATTATTCTTTGTTAGTTATAAATCTATATTTTTGATCATTTCTGATAATTATTCATTATAATAATCTTTTAGTTATTTAATTTCTTGAACAACCATATTAAATTATTGTTCTCTTTTAAAATTATGTTTAGAAATTAAATCCTCTGATTAACCCATAAATGAATTCCATCTTTTGTTTGCTTCTTTTAAACTGATATATTAAATAGGATTTTCTTCAATACATTCTACGCATGCTAACCTCCCAAACTCTGGTTCAGTTTAATTTATGTTTAACATAATTATTTCCTTGTTATGTTTATTACAAATCTAATTAAGATAAGGAGTTTTCTAATATAAATAATTATAAATTACATGTTGATCAAATTCTTTGGCAGGCATTTAGTTGATATTAGCAGATTAATTGATTGGTACACTAGATTTTATTAATTCTATGGATTCCATGATTTAGTTAAAATTTTACGATTTTTACTAAGATTACAATGATTCATAAATAATTTGGAAAAGGGCTAAGTCTTTTTCCTTATAAGTTAGTTATTTTGGTATATTATAATTAAAATTTCCTATATAATTTTTTGATAGAATTTGAATTTCCTCATCATAATTTTTGAATTCTAACTTGGATTCCTTTGATTCAATTTCAAATTGGATTTATTCCACTTATTGATCAATTAATTATAGTAATTTTTCAATTTCTATCTTGATTTAGTTTTTGTATGATTTTATGGATGATTACAATTGTTTTAAATTGTTTAATCTTAGAACATTCTCTTCCTTAGCAAGTTTTTCAGTTTGGGTCTTCATACTTTATATCATTTCTGTAGCTTCATTTAACAATGCCATATTTTCTTTATCGACTCTCTCAGCCAGACATCTTGTGCATAAATATTTGTCATCAATTCTTGTTTATGATTTCAAATCAACTACTACTATTTCTAATTTATGAACTTAACAAATTCTTTTTTCAATCTCAAATGTTTACATAAAATTTTATTTATTTAATCTTATTTATTTGAAAGGTGGAATGTTAAGATCATCAAAATATATAATAAATTTTGAATAAATAATACTGTAAATAACGATGTTTGAATAGTATTGGGCTGCATATACATAACACTATTATAGAATTAATTTGGGCTTAAATTTCTGTTATCTTGAATCTCATATTTATTAATATATATTTTTAGCATTATTTTTAGTATTACATTTAATATTCTTAATGAAGCAATTATTAATCAATAAATGTCTCAAATGTACTAGCATTTATCGGTATTTGTAAAATAAAGAATTCCTTTAAACAANCTAATAAAATAATTAATCGAGTCTATCTTATTTCTCTTATTGTTCCAATATTTTCTTATTTTGATCTTTTTAACTCAATAAATTAATCATGTTTTCAACTTATTTTTCATCTAACTCAAATATTTTTTTATTCTCTAATTTAATGAAATCTTAAATATCTGAATTATTCTTTGTTAGTTATAAATCTATATTTTTGATCATTTCTGATAATTATTCATTGTAATAATCTTTTAGTTATTTAACTTCTTGAGCAACCATATTAAATTATTGTTCTCTTTTAAAATTATGTTTAGAAATTAAATCCTCTGATTAACCCATAAATGAATTCCATCTTTTGTTTGCTTCTTTTAAACTGATATATTAAATAGGATTTTCTTCAATACATTCTACGCATGCTAACCTCCCAAACTCTGGTTCAGTTTAATTTATGTTTAACATAATTATTTCCTTGTTATGTTTATTACAAATCTAATTAAGATAAGGAGTTTTCTAATATAAATAATTACAAATTACATGTTGATCAAATTCTTTGGCAGGCATTTAGTTGATATTAGCAGATTAATTGATTGGTACACTAGATTTTATTAATTCTATGGATTCCATGATTTAGTTAAAATTTTACGATTTTTACTAAGATTACAATGATTCATAAATAATTTGGAAAAGGGCTAAGTCTTTTTCCTTATATGTTAGTTATTTTGGTATATTATAATTAAAATTTCCTATATAATGTTTTGATAGAATTTGAATTTCCTCATCATAATTTTTGAATTCTAACTTGGATTCCTTTGATTCAATTTCAAATTGGATTTATTCCACTTATTGATCAATTAATTATAGTAATTTTTCAATTTCTATCTTGATTTAGTTTTTGTATGATTTTATGGATGATTACAATTGTTTTAAATTGTTTAATCTTAGAACATTCTCTTCCTTAGCAAGTTTTTCAGTTTGGGTCTTCATACTTTATATCATTTCTGTAGCTTCATTTAACAATGCCATATTTTCTTTATCGACTCTCTCAGCCAGACATCTTGTGCATAAATATTTGTCATCAATTCTTGTTTATGATTTCAAATCAACTACTACTATTTCTAATTTATGAACTTAACAAATTCTTTTTTCAATCTCAAATGTTTACATAAAATTTTATTTATTTAATCTTATTTATTTGAAAGGTGGAATGTTAAGATCATCAAAATATATAATAAATTTTGAATAAATAATACTGTAAATAACGATGTTTGAATAGTATTGGGCTGCATATACATAACACTATTATAGAATTAATTTGGGCTTAAATTTCTGTTATCTTGAATCTCATATTTATTAATATATATTTTTAGCATTATTTTTAGTATTACATTTAATATTCTTAATGAAGCAATTATTAATCAATAAATGTCTCAAATGTACTAGCATTTATCGGTATTTGTAAAATAAAGAATTCCTTTAAACAATTAGAAATTAGATGATTATCTGGTTATTTTTAAAATTTCTAATCTCAATAAGGAAATAGCAATTAGGAATGAGATAAACATTTTTTTATTGAAATTTAAATGTGAGTACAATTTTAAAATACTTGTGTAAATTCTGATATTTTCTCATTACTTTTCTTCTTATCAAGAAGATCACACATCTATTCAATTTAGTACACAAATCTTTCGATCTGCCATTCCTTAGTAGATCAAAATAACTTACTTTTAATCCTATCTGAAGTATTTGATATTAAAATATTTTATTCTGAAATATCTTAGATTGGCTTAGACTTGCATTCTAAATGAACTGATTATTTTTTGATGAAATTTATCATTGCTGTTTTTTAATGGTAATAACTAAGCTGAAAAAACTTTCAACATTAAATTCCAAATTCAATTATATCATTAATAAACTTGGTAAAAAACCACTTTAGTCTAAAGTTTCTTATTTTATAAAGTTTAAGGCAAAGTCTTTAGAAGATATCATTGCTCCAAAAGCCTACTTTCCTGTATTATGTTAATGATATTTATTTATTTAATTAAATCTGCAGATGCTAAAAAATGGCTAGATGATTCATCTATTTAAATTTTTGGTGAATTTTTTATATGTTATTGAATAGTATCTGGAATCTGTCTTATTTTTAATTGGCATTAATTATGATAAATGAGCCATATTATAGAAAGCCATTACTAACTTGACATCATAATTAAGATAGGTGAACTACTCTCAAGCTGTCTAGCATTTAAAAGCCACAGTTTATCATTTAAGAGATTGCAAAGTTGACACAGAAAGAAACACAATAATTATTTAAAGTTCATTCAAATAATTGTCTCGAAAGTTGAATCTGGAAGTGATGCTGATGCAGTTTAAAAATAAGTAATTTAGCTAATGAATTATTAGCCAATACCTTAGAATCTTTAATTTATTGCCATTTAAAGACATTAAAGGCGCAAATAAGAATTTAAGTAATTGCATAATTCTGTTTGAATGCTGTCTATTCAGGCTATATATATTGCTGCTTTGAAAGATAAAACTAGATGTTTGAGTCCATGTTAATTTGTCAGCAAATTTAATACAAAGCAGTAAAATCAAGGATTCTTATTGAGCAAGCAATTTAAGGTGTTTGAATTAAAATAAGCGAGAAAATGATTGCCACTTTATATCTCTAAGAAAAAAAGCACATTCTTGTCGCCAGGGTTCTGTGTTTCAAACAAATATATGGAACTGGAGAGACATTAATTTTGTTTCTTATTAAAAAAGTACCAAAATAATTTAATTCACTTACCAATTGATGGAATACCTTTTAGGTTCCTAGTCAAAGCAGAATAGAAAAATAAAATTTCTACAAACATCTCAAATTTATTGTTAATGAAAATTAATAACAAGATATTCAGGGTGTTCGATTGAATAAATTGCAATTCTTGATTTTGATTTAATATTTTTACTTCAAATTACCATTTAAGATACTGATCGAATCTGATTTTGGTTGATGGATAGTAGAAAGATGATAAACCTAAATGTAAGGAAAAATTATGAACTTTGAGGATATTCTTTAAGCTCAAGTTATGGTCAACGGAACTTGATGAATGAAGGCTAATTATTGTTTGCTTTAACTTCAACAACAACCTATACATTTTTATTCTAAAATCTTAATTAACCACAATTGTTAGTTTTAGAAATTTGAAACAAAATATGGTTATAATACAAATTTATCATATGAAGGAATATAAAATGTAACAATTGATACATCCATATAATAAGATATCCTTATAGTATTATTGAAATGTTATTCATAGAAAGATCAGGTATATTCTCTGATATAGCTATTATCCTGAAATTGGGTGCCGACAGAATCTGTATGAAGCACAACAGAGTTTAGATTAAATTTGCATAAAAGATGTTGCTATTGTAATAGATCCAGTATAAAGTGGAAGTGCTTATAGAGGCTCTTAGAATAATAAGTAATTTAAATTGAAAAGCTGGAGGAGAGCTATGGTAGGTAATACGAAGTAAGGCTTGCTTATCACCTAAACTAAAATTTACAATCCGTGAACTATTAAGGCACATGTAAGATGAATAGCTTTGAACAGAAATAAGCTAAGCAAGCATAAGAAGGTTTGGGTCGACAAAATAATATGGAATGTTCCAATTCAATTTTGGAAAGAATTTTTTTAATTAGCAGAAAATTATGGATAGGGTTTAGAAGAAGAAAATATCAGGCTTGCAAATAAATAGAATTGATTAAAGTCAGTGATGCAGATTATAGAAGCCAACTATTAGCAAAAGTGAAAGAAAAACATTGGAGATATTACTTAATATAACTGTTTGCACTCCATCCTTAGTTATAATTTTAATACTTAGTCATGCTTCGCAGATGTAATCTTAAAACAAGATGACATTAAGAATCCTTATTCTATTATACTAAATTTAATAGGGAGTTAATTTAGTTTGCCAATACCAAATTAATAGTTCAAATAGCAGAATAACATTTAGTGATGATTGCGTTCATTGTTAAGACTCAGTATCTATTATAGTTTTCTTATTTCAATTTTAGTATTGCCTGTATTAGTTTGTACATCTTTTATCAATTGTAGAGTGGCTACTAGTGATTGCTGAGCTTGAGAAATGGAGGGATCTTTAGAAATTATTTTAAATAATGAATGTTTGTGTACAGTAATAATTCTTGTAAGTGAGTTCTACAATGAAAGCTAGAAGATGTAGAATGTTGAAGCGCATTAATTTCAAGAGCTTCAGTAAAAATGAATTTGGGTATGAATCACGAACAATCGTTGCTAGTAGTTCATGATTCATGCTTGTCAGGAGATTTAGTAGTAGTGTCATAGTAAAATAAATTCATGTTTCTTTGGTGATTCCGTCAGATAAAACAAACAGTTACTATTGTCAAAAACACGACCATCAAGACGTTATGAATCTACGTTTGCAATTTCTGAGAATTTGAAACAAATTTCTGAGTCTGGACTACAAAGTTTTAAATCTCCATTATGATTATGATGATGATACAAGACATATAATTTCCTACTTATAAAAGCTGATCGTTCAGGTAAAAAGAGATAGAAAATATCTAGGAATACAGTCTGACTTTTAATCTTAAAAATTATTTTGGACAAAGGCTTTTATTCTACAAGTAGACATACAGATAACTATTTCATCAATATCGAGTCATAAATGTTATGATCATTCCAGCTAGTAGGTCCTCTTTGTAATTATGTAGGACAATACCAAATGCAGCTTTAAAATTGAATGCTATGCAAACACAGGTAACCGAATAACTTCAGTAAACAGTAAATTGTTTTCTGTCTAAAAAGTACTCATTAAACTCTAGTAAATGTAAATGAATTTGAATAAAATTAATCGCACAAGTCACGCAACTACTAGATTCCGAATTGCTTCATGCAACTCAAGGATAAGAGCAGATCGTAAAATTTGTACCATTTCTGAAACCAAAAATAGTAAAACTGGTTAAATTCTAAAAAATGAAGTATGATAGAGAATTAACGCAATGCAATAGCCAGCTATAAACTAAGGTTTGAGATTTCAGAGTTATAACTTTTACAATGAACAACACATTAAGAGAATACTCACCTGAAGGTGTTGGCAAGTCTCATAAAATTGCCCAGAAATATTTAAAAATTGCTAACCAAGCCCCAGAAAATTAATTAAAGAGAATTAAAAGGCTATTTGTCTATTAAATGTATATTTTTGAACTGATAAGTTTCTGAAGCTGCTTTTTAAATTGAGAATGCTATGTTCCCATTTTTCAAGGAGAGCATAATCTATCTAATATTGAACTATCTTTACAGATTTTTTATCGACCAAATCTTACTAATATTTAACGGATGCTAGATAATTTAAAATTTGCACTTTGAAATAGTATGTGTTGATTTCGAAAATATAGGGCATTTTATATTTTATAAAAAATATGATATATATAAACTTATCAAAGACAGAAAATCGAATCTTCGAACTTTCTTAATTTGTAAACCAATCCAAAGCATTAAATTCAAATTATATCAGATTGAATTTAAGAGTTCAAATTAAAATTGTATTGAGATTGTTGTTAAAAGCAAGGATCAAATAAAAATAATTTACTTTATTTATTTTTGAACTTAATATCACAAATAAATTTATAAAAATCATTAATTAGTAATTTTAAGCTGTTATGAAATATAAATGACCATAAAATCTCTCTTCTAGAAAAAGATTCAATGGATTACTTACTCTTTGGATAGTTTTGAAATTATTATTTAAATATGGGTCACAACAAATACCTTGAAATTACAAATGTAAATCAAGAAATTACTAATACTGTTTTGATTAATCATATTTAAGAAGTAATTACATATTATTTACATGAAGATCGAATAGAAAAGTTGAATTTGTAAAATGGACAGTGTCAACTTAGCAAATTAATATATTCAAACCATAGCCTGATGTAATTTTATTGATCTATATAATTGTTTAAAAAATTCTTTAAAAGCTTAGTTTTGTAAAATTAGAGTACAATACAAGATCAAATTTGATATCCACAAATTTAAATCGATATATTAATTTTGAATTAAATAAATTATTTTAATCTCTTAATTATGATCCTGACTATGATTATGGTGTTTCTAAAATATTAACTTTCTCTTGGGGATATGCTTTCCTCAGTACAATTAGATAAAAAAATTTAAACTTACAACTTTAAAGCAGACATTAATGAGTATAATTTAGATACTTGTTTTGATTATGGATTGTGGAGTCGATATACTCCTCTCAGTAACATAAATCAACTTGGACTGGTGGGTATTTTTGATAGTAATTGTTTTCACCTTCACAGTGCTTTGGAATATTCAAATGAAAGGTTAAATTTTATAGTTTATGATTGTCTTGATTATGACACAATGACAATCTAAAGAAATGTTTAATTTATTAGTGATGATAATAAGCTATATAAATATCAAATATCAATAAATAAGCAAGAATATGAATTTTATTGGCATTATTTTACAATTATTGTATGGCCATTATAAAATAAAATGGAGCTAATATTAATTTAACATCCTATAATATTACTATAAGAAGAAATAAGTATTTAATTTCCATTTATTGACGTAAATTTAATATTGAGATTTGGGGGTGGATTAATTGTAAACGATTCAAAAGATCAGGTTCTAAAATTAGATACAATGTACTTTTCATATCTACCAGGAATTATGTATTTGCATCCTTTAGGTATACAAGATGAGAAGTTTGGTTTGAAGTTTGTTTAAGACGCAATTGACTTATTCAATTACCCTTCTAATTAAATTTGCAAATGCACTATGAACAAAAATAAAAACTTATAAGATTAGGATATGTTTTGGATGGATCATAATTTATTTGCCTCCTAATAAAATAATTGCGATTCTTTTGTTTTTTCGACTTGGATTAAAATAGATAAAATCTTTTAAGTTGACTAAGCCTTTTTATACTAATTTATTAAAATTTCGGCTAATTTCGAGAATACTTAGTTAACTAATGAATATTTATCACCTTTTCAACTCTTTTATAGGATTTCTTCCTTATAAAATCAATTAATATATACCACATATAGCTTTACATTTCCATCCGTTTCAATGGATTTTCTTAAGGAAAGCTTTTTAATTCAGAAAGAGTTCGATATAATAAATGAAATTTATGCATGGCAATATTTGTTAGTTTCTTTAAAGGAAAATGCAATGTCAATATCATTAACTTTTTATTAAGATTTTCACCAATATAACTATAAAGTCGATATTGTAGTGAATTAATTCCATTTCATTCAATTTAAGCTCCAATATGGAAATATTCTCCAATTAGCTTCAAATTATTTAGACATTAAGATTAGAGATATGAAATTTCTAAATTGCTTTCTAACAGCTATGCCATAAAGAAGTTGTCATTCTAGTTGCAAAGATTGTGATGGACCTACAAAAAATGATTGCTTATCATGTTCAGAGTAATCCAAGAGGATTTATCTACCAGAATATAAGTCCTGTATTTGCCCTTATGATATGATTGACGCTTAAGTATGCAAGGATTATGAAGATTTACATTTTTAATTATAGTTTCATGATGATGATTATAAATAAAAATGCCAATACGGATACTTCGAAGTAGAAAATACTTGCTTAAAATGGTAAATATAACACTATATATAGCCCTTCAATTATAAAACATAATATGATCACTTGTTTAGAATGTATAGAAAATCCTTAAACTTGGAGTTTGGATCCATATTGCTTTACTAATTTATATTTAGATGACACAGGAAGACCAGTATAATATTTTGAGGATAGTATTAAGACTTATTACATATATTATGATGCTGATTTAAATGCATGCAATTCTTGTGTTTCTGGATCTATGAAAGACATAGATTTCATTTATAATATTTATACATCCTTGAACCAATTGGTGTTGATGTTTTGCAATCAATAAACAACAACAAAATGTATTTCCTGTAATATTGAGAACTGTAATCAATGTGGAACTTTATTAACAGGAAACTCTTGTTTGTATTGGGTTTTTCCGGAAGCAAAGATTGATGGAGCTTGTATCTTAGATCCAATAGGTTATAGAACAATTTGGATTTGTCAGAGTCCTTATTATATATCATCCCAAAAAAAATGTGAAGAATGCCCTATTGATAACTGTGTATATTGTTTTGAGTACTACAATAATGATCTATCGAAAAGTACACTTTATAATGATTTTGCTTCTTTTCCTATTAATGAATATCATAAAATCGGTTGTGCTCTATGTAATTCTGGATATAAATTTGATTTTACAATTGACAAATGCATTTATTAACAGCCATCCTTATAAAATTGTTTAAGATCATATATAAACATGGAAGGTTCTGAAATTTGCACCTTATCTTAAGTTGAAGATTTTAAAATTGCTCCTGAAATTATCAACTGTTAATACCATATTCCTAACTGCATCTAATGTCTATTAACTCCTCTACAAGTGCTGATTTGCACACTCTGTGATGTCGGTTATCAAACAGATTCAATATCTGGTCATTGTTAATTATGCAACATTGAACATGCAGAAATATGTATATAAGCCAATATAGGACTAGAAAATGGTTGGAATCAACTTATAAAGAGCTTCATACTACAATTCTTACCTGATAAGTATTATTGTCCCTTTGCTGTTTCGCGTAACACAATTAGTGTAGTATTAAAGTGTAAGAATGGTTTTCAAACCTTCGCTAAATCTCTTTCAGCATGTATGGAGTATTGTGATTCCAGTTGTCTAGAGTGCTTCGAAGATTAATAATAACATAGCTTTGCATGTGGAAAATGTTAGCGAAATTATTATTAACAGCCTATGCTAGTGGAAAATAAAGGAAAATGTCAAGTCTGTCCTCCATTATGTGAAATTTGCAAACCTAGATCAAAAATTGAGATTTAAGTATTTAATTATCAATTATAAAATAGACAATAAACTCTAATTATTAAATTACTGATTCTAATGCCATTTATACTTACCAATGCATCAAACCTGTTTCAAATCCAAATATTAGAATTAATCCTTATTTAAAGGTTGCACAATACTGTTATCAAGAACATTGCAAATACAGTTTATTGTTTGAAGTAATTAAACTATTTTTATTAGATCCTTTAAACAAGTGATCCTGGTGTTTTGAACATATTGGTCCCTATAGCTCCCAATTATTTTGAAAAGTAAGTAGATGTAGAATTTTGTAACAGAATTGGTCTATAAAATTTAATCATACATCATAAATATTTAATAGAAAAAAAAGTTATTTATTTTTATCCGATTCAACCTAATTTTTAAGGAATGAGTTTAAAAACCATATCTTTACCTTATAGAAAGTACATCTAATTTATTAAGGCTATGATAAATCTTAAAATAATTACTAGCCTCTTTTATTTATATAGAACTTTGATAAAGTGGAGATTCTGAGAATGAAATTTATTATTGAAAATGAATTTGTATTAACTCTTCATAATGACAATAATTTTATTGATGTGAGATTTACTGATATTATTATAAGTTAATAAGAACCGAGCAAGTCAAAATTAGCAATTACTTCAACAGGCTTTCATAACTTTGAATTTTAAAATGTATCAATAAGGAACTTTGATGCATCTGATTCTGTTGTATTTGATATGAAATTAGAATCAAAAGGGGAAGATATTATTATTAATAATTTTTCAATTATCAATTGCACAATCTTGAATTCAGTTATATTCAATTTTGCTAACAATACAAGAAAGATAATTATTGAAAATTTAATATTGCAATCCTCTAAATTTGTTAATTCCAAATTTCTAAACTTAACTCTCTTGCTATTAGATAATATAGAGATAAGAATTAAAAATGTATAAATCAACCTATGTAACTTCAATAACTTTAATTTTTTAAATAGCATTGGATCCTCTAAATTTGATCTTCAAAATATATCATTTAGTTATAATACATTTTAGGAATCCACTTTTATTATAATATTTTCATAAATCATATTAAGGGATGTATTTCTAATGAATAACAAATTTACTAATGGGTCGTTTCTGATTGCTGACTATTAATTAGACTAATTTATTAATTCTTCAATGGAAAATATACTTGTAGGTCAAAATCAATTCGCAAATTTCAGTTTATTAACATTATTTTCAAAATTGCTAAACTATTAATAATATCTGGATGTTAAAAAACTTTGTTTTGTTTGAGAATACTAAATCAAGTCTTGTATAATAATTCCTATTCAATATTAGTTGCTCAAATTAAATGTATGTTTCTAATTTAATCATCAAAAATTCAATTAGCTTTCCCTATTTTTATTTATTAGATAACTAAAACATTCTAATCTCTAATGTAACCTATACTAATGATATTTAAAAAGAGAAGATACCTTCTTCATTAAATTGTTTTCACAATAATTTTGATTATTATAATCCATAATTAATACAAATTTATGGTTTAGTCAATGTAGAAATTAGATATATCAATATTTCTAATTAATTTAGTATTGATTAATCCCTTATATTGGTATAAACAAATATCTTCTTTTAGCCTGGTAAAATTGAGAAAATAGAATTCTCAGACATATGCTTTTTTTGTAACATTTTGTTAAAGAGAAGTCTTGGAAATTTTTTGTCGTAGGTTGTGGTATACTCAGAAAAGGAATAAGACATAAGTTTTAACAATATCATTTTTAAGAAAACTCCTAAAATTAATATATTGATGATCCAAGTTTGTCTTCAACAACCCTTCTTTTCATTAATTCTTAATAAAGTAATGTAAGAATAACTGACATCTCATGCTTCAATAATGCTTTGACAAATTCATCTTCTACTTTTATTTTCATCTCTGCTTATTCTATATAATTTAATAAGGTATATGTTTATGGTCATAATATGTAAAACTATTCAATATGGACCAAATATTATGACCTAGAAATTTTAAGCATTGAACACTAGAATAAAATAAATTTAGTAATATAATAAGCATTTCCAATTAAAACCAAAGGTGGGGTTTTTTCATTAATTGCTACTATATACACTCTTTTCGATGGTACTTTTCTTGATATTTCTGCTGAGAGTAGTAGTGTAATAGCATTAAGAACTCAAGGTTAAGGATAAGTAAGTTTGTAAAATGTGGAATTTGTTTCTGTTTAAACTATTTCTTCATAAATAGGAAACACAGATGGATGCCTTAGTGTTTAGTCTCAAAACAGTCTATTAATGCTTACCTTAACTAATATTACTTTTAATTAAGTCTAAAATGTTTTATCATCATCAATATTGACAATTTACCCTTCTTTTAATTAGAATTACATTAAATTGGAAAATATAAAAGTAATCAATTGTTTTTCTTTGATGGATTAAATAATGAATGTTCAATTTTCACACACCACTCCTAAGAAAAATTAAGTAATTATAAAAAATTTGATGGTGGAATAGAAAGAGCCTAATTTTTTTAGCTATCTTGAAAATTTAAGTGCTTTGACCTCTTTAGAAGTTAAGAAGATTGCAAATGATAATACTTTGATCTAATTTTCCAGTTGCCAAATATCATTTACATCAATTACTATTACAGGAATTTACAGTTCTTCCTTAATTAAAATTATAGATTGTCCTATCATTTTCCTTTCAGATATATTTCTCCATAACATTAAATTGTTGAACTTTTTTAATTTGCTCTATATTGGGTAAATATCTTAGATAATTAATATTGTTAGAATTTTTGTCATTTTTATTTAAACTTTGGATAATTATCAGATAGATAATCAATCTATGATTGAACAATCTGATTTTGCTATTAAGTTTTCAAATTAATTATGCTATCAGGAGAGTTCATTGAAAAATTAGATTTATACATCAAATACCCTAAACATCAAATCCTTCTTAAGTGATTTGTAAGCAGTTTTATTAGAAGTAGGATCGCTATTTTACTATAACAGCATCTCTCATAAAAATGTATTGTCTATCTCTTAAATTTAAATTATTAATGTAGAGTGCAAATAATGTCTAAATGGATTAATTTATTTTGATTTAACTGATTTCTTAAGAATATTTATTTAAGAAGTATTTTGTTATTCAAACAATATAATTACTTCTGGATGTTTCGTTGTGAAATCATAGATTAATCAGAATAATTTATTAACTATTAAATAGTCTGAGTTTATTTTGAACAAAGGCAAGAGTGGAGTGGCAATTAATGCTTAGAATTTGAGAATTATTATGAACAAATGCAGGTTTTTTAATAACTCAGCTTCTGATTTTGGAGGAGCAATTTACTTACTGTAGAAAAATGAATATTTTCTTTTCAATTAAACTTTAATTTCTAATAATAAAGCTAAGGAAGCAGGAGGCCTATATCTTTATGGGAATAGCAGTTTAAATTAATCAAATTTTATTAATTCTCTCCTATCCTTAAATAAAGCTGATCTGTATTCTAATAATTTTTAAGCAATACCAGTTAGTCTAGAATTATCTATAAATCAAATATAAATGTATTCAATCTAAAACAATGCTTCTGAAAAATAGTTAGCTTTAAAACCTTATAAAATGATTGAGTAGGGATAAATAATATTAGCAAAATAATTAAAGTTACCTAGAAAGTAAAAGATAATCAATTATAAAATTTATAATACAGCTTAGTTAAAATTTGTGGATTATTTAACAGAATTTTCATTATCTTTGAGGAATATCTTTAATGAAGAACTTCCAAATATTATTAATCATACATGTGAAATTCACCAATATGACTTAGAAAGAAATTAAATTATCTAAACTAAATTTATTAGTTCATTGTTATTTAATCCAAGTACAAATAATTTTGATCTCGGATCCTTGTAATTTAGCATTGACCCTTATTAATAAAAAACTAAGATTAATCAAATTTTAATTTCTTGTTAATCTTAATATTAAAAGTTATCATTATCATATCTTTTTGTTGTATAACCATTAAAATGTTAACTAGGAGAATTTTATGTTGAGTTTGGTTGCTAACTATGTGAACCAAATTAAGGATTTTATTCTGTATCTTATAATACTACAAAGTGTTCTATTTTTGATCCAACAAAATTTGTATCAATTACATCAAATTTAATAAATCTCAAAAAAGGCTATTGGAGACCAACGTTTGAATCTGATATTATTGAATGTTGTTTTAAAAATGAAGAGCACTGCATAGGGGGATGGTTAGTCGGGAATTCCTTGTGCAATACTGGATATTTGGGAGGCTTATGTGAAGAATGTGACAAATATAATATAAGAGGATAAGGAGAATATTTTAAATAGAACTAATAAACAATATGTTAAGTTTGTGATGAATATTCATAAACGTTAGCTCCATTTATTCTAACTTCAATATGGTATAAATAATGATATTCTTTCTTAGGGCAATATTGTCTATTCTACTAACACTGAAGAGCATTAACAATTCAAATAAACTATTTTCGTCTTTAAAATTAAGATAAAAGTTTGCAAAAATCCTTTTTAAACTTAATCAAGGTATCAAAATATTATATTTTAAGATCATGAAAGTATACAAATTAAACTCTTTTTAAACTATTTATGGATATTTTCTTCTATTTTTACTTTCAACATCAATTTTGCATTTTCTTTTGGTTTCATCAATTCAACTAGCAATCCTTCTTATTTCATGGCTAATACACTTGATTGCTATTTATCATAGTTTACAAAATATGAATTAATATACATTAGGATACTAGCCATGATAATACTACTTGGATGTTAATTAATGCTAATTTACATTGGATTTAAAATTCATGCCATGATTACAAAATGCAAACTCGACTCCAGTATTTTTTCCATAACGATTGTCTATTTATATGTGTCGAATTACGCTGCTTTAATAACATAGTATTATTAGTATTAAATTTAGATTTTGCTCAGTTGTAGCAAAAAGAACAATATCGAGAATCGATTATATTCAAGGAGATTTAACCCTTCCCTATGGATCCCAGTCTCATTCTTTATGGGTGTTTAGTTTCATTTTACCAGGATTGGGTTTGATTGGATTTTTTTTCCCCTTTGCTGTATTCTTCTTCTTGTACCTTAAAAGAGATGAACTAGATTAAATCCAGTTTAGAAAGCATCTTTGTTATCTATTCAATGAATACAATGACAATAATTATTTTTGGGAATGGATCAAACTATGGAAAAAAGCATTTTCATTTTCATTATGATTTATTTTGAATCTGACATATCTTTGAAGGCTTCTTTATTAGGGTTATGTCTACTATGTTATGAATTATTAGCCATGAGAAACAAACCATTCATAATTGAAAGTTTTAATGCTCTAGATATATAAGCAGGATAAATTTTTTTAATTTCATTATTTTTAGCCGCCGTTAAATATGTAAGTGAATAGAAAAATAATGGCGTTTCAGCAGTAATTTTATAATTATTGATTATATTGCTGTGCATAAAATTATGCTATCCATTTCTCTCTAATATTACTAAGGTTTATATCAAAAAATATCAAATGACCTTAATTATTTTACTTCATAAATTCTTCAATTTTATCAAGAAGAATTCAGGAATTACTCTATATTTAGGCAATAAAATAAAATAATAGAAGTAACGTGAATAAACTCTGAGAAAAAACTATAAAAAATTGCATTAGTATCTTATGACGATTACCAAAAACTAAACCGATTTTTAAAAAAAGTACTTAATCTTAAAACATTATATAGATCCTTGCTTACATTAGTAACTTCTTAAAGCCAAATAAAATTTTGACTGAAATAAGCAAATAATGAGATATATAAACGTTGTTTGATTTCATTATGAATATAAATAAAAGATGTGAGTGAGAACTAAATTTAATTATTTCGACACCAATATTTCTTTCTTGAATTGCAAGCAAGTAAAAACTATATTAGAATTTTCAACCAAACTAGATGATGTAGCTTTGGTAATCAAACAAAACTTATCTATATAATCTAACTTTATCCTCATAAATCCTCCTCTACTAACCTTCCAAATAAAATTTAATAATTTAATTCCTAAAAATAAATTTCCAATGTCCAATTCTTGTATCTTTTTAGTACTGTCTTACTATAACTACATTTTTGCCACTTTTTATTATTTACTTAAATCATACTCCAAAAAATTGTAGCTTAAATCAACCCACTTTCCATCTTCTATCCTTGCTAATTGCATACCCTTCTCCTATTTTATCCATCTAGCTGAGGTGATCATTTAAAGTTTTAGTATTTTATTTATTCTAAATTATTTGATACAACTTCATTTTCCTATAATTCCATTTATTGTTATCTAAAATCACAATAAAAAGTTTTACCTTCTAATCATCTTGTATTCACGATGAAAAAGTTAATCATCATTACTTTACATTATCATTTTTAAATTATTAATTTTTAACTTCTTTAAACCCTCTAATTCATAAATTCTTTGATTAATTTTGTTATTTGTTCTTAAAATATTCAGATAATCTTCCAAATTTTTGAAATTAATTCAAGTAGATAATTTACTTTACTAAAATTCAAAGTTTGCCTTTTTATAGTGTGTACTACTATTTGATTTAAGATATTTCTTGTTATTTTGTTTAAATCCACTCATCGAAAATATTTAAATCTAAAATCTTATAGAAAGCTTAATTCCAAGTAAGAGCACTCTAATAGATTTTAATTATAATAATTGAGTTTAAGAAATCTTGCATCCTACATTTTACAAGTTTTTGAGATCATATTAATTTATTCTCTCATTTTAGAAATAAGTAAAGGATTTATTCTTAAATAGCATTAAGTTGATCAAGAAATTCTTTGAAATTTTATTTGCATCCCGATTAGACTATCTTTTAACTAAATTGAGATGATTTGATTTTTAAAAGAATTTTTAAACAAAAATTTTCCATTTCTAACTCTTTGTCCTAAGGAATGTTGAATTATTATATGCATTCAATGCATACCTTTGTTGGGAATTTTAAGCTTTATCCGGCTCTTAAAACACTACAATCAGAGACATTTGGATGATCTTTACAAAAGTTGTTAATCGAATTCATTTTATATATTATTAATAAGTTTTAAGGATATATGAAAATACCTGAATTTTTTGTTGTGTATATTTTGTTTTTTTACAAATATCGTTATTTCGGCAAACATATTTTAAGATTCCTCAAAAACATTTAAATCTGGAATTATATGAATTAATTTCTTTGAATAGAGAATTATATTAGATATCGAAGCAATAGAAATTTAAAATGTTGATTTTTTTTAACTCTCTCTCTAATTCTATTTTTGATTATGGCTTTAGATAAAGTAATTGATATCAGTTTAAATTATTATATTAAAATATTCTTGCCATTTATTAATAATAAGTAAACTCTAATTTCTAAAATTTTATTTAATCCTTGTGAGACTCAAATGCCTCACTAATTTAATTCTTAAAATTTTAATTAATTTTCAATTTGGAAATTCCAAAATTTTTGATTATTTCCCACCTTTGAAAGTGATGATTCAAAATTCACAAACCTCTTCATAATTACAAAGGTCTATTTTTGGTTTGAAATAATTTTCTATTCTTGTAAATATGCACTAATAATCCAATAGATTATATTCCTATTTTTAGATATACAAATTCGCTTACGAAGTTAAATAGATTGAATATTATTAAATATCATTGCTTTGAAGAATTCTAAAATTTAAAATAAATCATTCTCATGTGACTTTTCCTAAAATTAGCCATGATAAGTGAGTTTGAATATTTCATAGATACACAGAAAAAGTAGCTATTATTGAAGGCTGCATACAATCACCTTCATAAATTAAATAGATTAACTTTATCTCTTATGTTTAAACAAGATTTACGATTAAGAATGAGCTGTTGATAATTTATAATTGCTGGGTAATGCTAAAATTTACTTGTGCAAATTTTTTTCCGACTTATTAAACATCAAATTGAGACAATTTGGAATGTAATATAGTGATCTATGTTTTTAATACTCATAATTTATCTAAAAATATCATTTTTATTTAGCAAGATAATTATTAGCTCACTTAATGAGAGCTCAGAAAAAAATTAATCTGCTGTATTTTCAAATTTTGAATAGTCAAATATACTATATATTTCTTCAAAGTCTATTTATAATGAAGTTAATTACTGAATGGCTTCTTCTAAAAGTCTTAAATAGAAATTCTAAACTGTGAGTTATTAAAGAATGCTTCATATTTCTTAACTATTTCTTCTATTTTTAGCTATCAAAAATACCAGCATTTGAAATTACTATAAACATGACACAATAGTTTTAATGAAATAGGGGTTTATGAAAAATATATATTCTAAAATAAAGTATAATGAAAGCAAGCTCTAATTTCATTTAAAGATGTAATACAATTTAATGTAAATGTAGCTAATATTGTTGAAGAATTTAGATACATACCATTTATACCATCTAGATAATTTGACAATCCTTTAATTTAAGGAATGAATTGCCTTAACTTTAAATTATATAATTGTAAGAATAACATAAATATAACATGAATTTGAGGTTGACAAAGCTTGCATGGTTATAGATTTTGAATTTGATTCTATCAAACATTGCAAAATTAGAGATGATTTCCAAATAGATTTTCAAACCCTACCTCAATTTTGATTATAGAGTCATGCAGAATCAATATACTTACAATTTTTTATTTAGTCAATCCGCAACTTGTAAAGAATTTTTACAAACAATTATATTAATTTAACATTACGTTATTGCATCTTGGTATTCATTTTCTATTCCAATCATAATCAAAACTTCATTCTATTTTACCATTTCCAAATTATAATCTTAAATATGTGAAACAAATTTCTTCTTAGTCTAGAAGGATAAGTATTTTGGTTAAAAAAAATCATTTTAAGGGGATTGTAAATAATCATCATTCCTTTTAGCCTTTCTATATATTAAATATGTTATTTTTTTTATTTCTAAGTATTTTCCAATTCTTACATTTTATATATATAAACTTCACTATTTTTAGAGATAAAAAATGGAAAATGATACAGTAAAAGAAGCGATTATTAATACAGCTAGTGTCTAAACAGTATTATTAAAATACAATGTAACTGTTTTATTCTTCGTAATTGCTATTTACGACTGGGTTAATGAATAACATTAGTTGCTAGATTTCAAACCACAGTAATAAATATTCATAAATAATTTTTATTATGACCGAAAATACTACGGTAATAAGTAATTTTAAATATTTCAACCATTATTAGTTTAATCAAACTAGAATATTTCTTAATAGTTAGATATTTTGAAGCCTTAATATATTTTAGATATATAAAATATCTCTGTATTAACTTTAGAGACCAGGATAAAATCTGAATTTTTAAACTATTAGAATCTCCATTCTAAAAAGCAAAAGATCAGAGACATGACTCTCATATTTAGTTGATAGAAATCTATCCGTACGTAAGTTAGAATAACCCTTATCCATCTTTGTCCTAAAATCAGAAAGCCTGAAAGGGTCAATAAGAAACTTGTGCAATTGAAAATACATTAAATTGCCAGACAATATTAGATGGAAGCATTTGATTTTTGTTTAGATGAAGAGAAAAATAAAATTCTATTGCTACTAGACTTTGATGGATGTAATTGCTAAAATTTTAAGTATATTTACAATTTTTATGAATTTTTGAAAGTATATGTTTTATCTCTCTATAATTAGGTATAGGGCATTGTAATAAAATAATGTGAGATCGAAAAGTCCTTATGAACTTTTAAAACATGTAATTTTTTGCTTCATAAGCATCCTGACACAGAGAATTATGCATAATAAGAAATAAATAGGAAAGATGCTTTTTATAGAACAGAGATAATGATTAATCATTTAATATTTATGACACATTACAAACAGGAAAAATTGAAGTATTTTAAGAATCAATAAATTCCTAAAAAAGTCATCCTATTCATTTACTTCAGTATTTTCATTAAAAGTATAATAATAAGGGTCTATTCTTATTATTTGAAATCAAACTCTATGCTGAATTCAATATCATAGTTTATGTATCATTAAGACAATTATTGTAAAAAAACTTATTTTACAAATATGGCTCATATTATTTAAATCTGCTAATTTGAAATCCTATTATATTTGGGCCTTATTACTTCAGAGAAGTAATCATATAGTTTAAATTTGATTCTTTTTCTTGACTTGCTGATTATTTATTTAATTTTCTATTAATTCTCTAATGATAATCATTGTTTTGATGATAATTGGCAAATTATACGGATAGTATTCCTTATCCAATCAAGTGTTAAACCAATCAATATTAATTGATTTCCAAATAGTTTAATAAATTGAAGTCGACTAATCAGATTAGAATTACCTGACCTTTGGAATTTGGTCAAAATACAACCCATTAGCTAATGTAAAATTAAAGGGTGCTTATGGACTATTTGACAGTAATTGCTTTTAGATATTAAATTCAGTCGATTACACTACTTCAAGTTTGAATTTTATTTACTATGATTGTATTTATGATACCACAAAAGAGATCAAAAAATTCATATAGTTTGGATTCAGTTAGACTGAATAGTTTATATTTTCATTACAAATAGAGCATTCTGAATATGAAGATTTTTGGTATTTTTTTTAAATCATCACGAATATCTAGAAAAAAAGTGTAGAATTAAGAATTTATTTTTAAATTAATTAGATATTTTAAGAAATTCTCCAGCTCTCTTTGCCTAATAAGGATTAGCAATTACTATTTACTTTTGGGGGAAGTTTAAAAGTAGAGAATTCAAACATTGAATTAATCAAATAAGGAACAATATTCTCGCTTTATCCAGGCTAATTAATTTTATATAACAAGGAGATGTAGAGAATACCTTTAGATTTTGATTGTTGGCTGTAAATTACTAAATTTTATGAAGAGATAGACAATTGTAAATGTGTTACCGATGTTGATATAACAAAGAAAAATTTTCATTTACTATTTTTAGACCAATAGACTAATGTTTTGAAGAATTTAAATTGCAATTCATACGTACTTGCTGGATGGCTGTAGGTATCACAAATTCATCAATCTTCTTAAGAATTCATATATTAATTCATTAAAATAAGTTCAAATTTGGATGGAATATAAGATGAAAATTTAGACACATTTTAGTTTTTNTAATCATTTAATATTTATGACACATTACAAACAGGAAAAATTGAAGTATTTTAAGAATCAATAAATTCCTAAAAAAGTCATCCTATTCATTTACTTCAGTATTTTCATTAAAAGTATAATAATAAGGGTCTATTCTTATTATTTGAAATCAAACTCTATGCTGAATTCAATATCATAGTTTATGTATCATTAAGACAATTATTGTAAAAAAACTTATTTTACAAATATGGCTCATATTATTTAAATCTGCTAATTTGAAATCCTATTATATTTGGGCCTTATTACTTCAGAGAAGTAATCATATAGTTTAAATTTGATTCTTTTTCTTGACTTGCTGATTATTTATTTAATTTTCTATTAATTCTCTAATGATAATCATTGTTTTGATGATAATTGGCAAATTATACGGATAGTATTCCTTATCCAATCAAGTGTTAAACCAATCAATATTAATTGATTTCCAAATAGTTTAATAAATTGAAGTCGACTAATCAGATTAGAATTACCTGACCTTTGGAATTTGGTCAAAATACAACCCATTAGCTAATGTAAAATTAAAGGGTGCTTATGGACTATTTGACAGTAATTGCTTTTAGATATTAAATTCAGTCGATTACACTACTTCAAGTTTGAATTTTATTTACTATGATTGTATTTATGATACCACAAAAGAGATCAAAAAATTCATATAGTTTGGATTCAGTTAGACTGAATAGTTTATATTTTCATTACAAATAGAGCATTCTGAATATGAAGATTTTTGGTATTTTTTTTAAATCATCACGAATATCTAGAAAAAAAGTGTAGAATTAAGAATTTATTTTTAAATTAATTAGATATTTTAAGAAATTCTCCAGCTCTCTTTGCCTAATAAGGATTAGCAATTACTATTTACTTTTGGGGGAAGTTTAAAAGTAGAGAATTCAAACATTGAATTAATCAAATAAGGAACAATATTCTCGCTTTATCCAGGCTAATTAATTTTATATAACAAGGAGATGTAGAGAATACCTTAAGATTATGATTTTAGGTTGTAATTTACCGAATTTTATAAGGAGATAGAAATTTGTGCATGTGTAATCGATTATGATATCGCAAAGAGCAATGTTCATTTACTATTATTAGATCAACAGACTAAAGTTTTGCAGAATATGAATTGCAATTCATACGTACTTGCTGGATGGCTCTAGATATCACAAGTTCACCAAGATTCTGAATAATTTGTTTATTAGTTCATGAAAATAAGTACAAATGTGGATGGAATATAAGATGAAAATTTAGCAACATTTCAGTTTTTTTATCAAATATCTCCTGTTCAAAACAAAATCATAATAACAACTTATAAATACAATTTTCCTTCTGTTACCTAAGACTTTTGGAGTAATCCATTTATTATTAGAAGAGAATTACTAATATAAAATGCTATTACTTCATGGTAATATATATATGTAAATCTGCAAGAAAACGTGTTAGATTTCTCAATTATCTTTTATGAAGCTTAGAATACTTAATCATATGAAACCTCAATTGATGTTAAGCAATTTCATAATTATTAATTAAAAATTACATACGGAAACATTTAATAAACAAAATTAGATTATTTAGATGTAATTGTTAGAGATTTGCTATTTATCAATTGTGTTTAAGATTTAAAATAATAAAAATGTCATTACAGTTGTTAAGAATGTGATGGTCCCACTAAGTATAATTGTTTAACTTGTTCTGCTGAATCAAAAAGAATTTTTATTCCGGAATCAAAATAATGTACTTGTTAATTAGGTACCATCGATTATGATAATTAATGCATTGATTATGTAGACTAAAACCTTTAGTTAAACCTTTAGTTTAATGTTAAACAAACAAGAAAATTAAATTGTAAAATGGGTTACTTTGAATTTGATGGAGAATGTATGAAATGGTAAATATCATGTTTATTATTATTTAGCCCTTAAGGAATCTATAAAGATTTCTTAATTTGCCGTGATTGTTTTTAAAATGTAGAAACATGGAGCTTAAATCCTGTTTGTACTGAAGTTTTAGATGTAACTTCAATATTTGGTTAATATGAAAAACCTAAAATCGACAATTTTTATTTTTATGATTCTTCTGACCTAATCTCTACCAAAACCCATCAGGATAAGATTGAAATAATTGGTATGCAGGATGAGTTCCAACTTTTTGAAAATTTCAGATAGAGTTCATAAATTTTCTTCTCTCTTTGCAATGCAAGAGGAAGCATGTATGATTAATAATTATGTTATCCTTGCACAATTAATTATTGTTAGAGTTGCGGCTTCACCATAAATAATGATATTTTTTGTTTAAAATGCGATGATCAACATAAACTTGTTGATGGTTCATGTAATATATACGAATATTTTAATTATGCATCATGTTTGCCTCCATATTATGCATCTTTCTCAAGGGAATGTAAGTTATGCACATTAGAGAATTGCTTATATTGTTTTGAATTTACACTAGTTTCGGAACTTGAAATTAGCATTGAATTTGATAATTTATATGATTCTCACGCTGAGTTTGCAATAGGTTGTATGTTATGTGAAAAAGATTATAATTTTAATTTCAATTTTGGAAGATGTTTAAAAAAAGCTCCATCTATGATTAATTGTCTAGCATCTGTTACAAAACCAACAAATGAAGAAATATGTTTAACATCTTCTTTAGATAATTTTCAAGTTTCAAGAGAGATAAATCGTTGCGATTCATTAATAACCAATTGTTCTCTCTGTTTTCTTGATAATAATAACAAATTAACATGCTTAGCTTGCGAGTCTAATTATGTATTATTTAGTGGAATCTGCTATGAAGGCGATGAATAAAGTGCTTCTTATTCAAAACAATTCTGGAGTTTGAAGGTAACAAGTTTTTTAACCAACTTTTATTAAAATTATAATTATGAATAACCTCCTGAATTAAATCCATGTGGAGATTAGTGTGTAACATGCAAACTATCATTAGGGGAGTATTATTGTGAAAAATGCTTTTAAGTAGATTTAAATCCGTTTTTAAAACGTATAAATTAGATGTGTAAATATTGTTCTGCACTTTGTCAGATTTGTGATGAACGATTTGAATTTGAAATCAAAGTAAATATAGATTGATTTTATTTAGAAAACGGCACCATTCCTTTAAACCACATATCTCAGGACCCCCTATACAACTAATTGTATTTTCCCTTTAATAGATCCTTTTATTAATTACAACCCTTATTTATAAACTACTTAATATTGTTTGGAAGGCGATTGCAATAATGAACTAACTTATGAATATATTGAAAGATTATGTTTTTTTGATAGATTTCCAAAATATCTAGATGATTTAGGAATTCAAGCTGAATATTTGAATACTATTGGAGTTGTTTCTATGACCATAATTATTAGAATAGAAATACAAGATGAATATTGTGTTCTCATGCCTTCATTAGTAACAACTGCTACTTTAAAATTTTAAGTATTTACTTTATAGGTCATTCATTTAAAATTATTAGCAACTTACCCCTTTTTCTTAGAAATTCCTTCTTAGACTTTTATATAAGAGTACGATTCCTTTACAATGATTGACTATGGAATAGTTTTCCCTTATTTAAATAATTATGATCTTAATATAAGTAATAGTTATAATGAAGTAAATTTTACATTGATAAACGTTACTATAAAAAATAGTTTAATATAGAATGCTCAATCCCTATTTAAGACAAAGAACTTTGGTTACGTAGAGCTATAAAACTTATCAATAATCAATACTCAATTTATAAACTCATCACTCTTTAACTTTAATGCATTTAGCTTAATTGGAAGTATTAGAATCAATTAATTATACTTATTGAATTGTAATTTTACTAACTCAATTTTATTTGAATTCTCTTACGTATAATTTCCAATTTAATTCATTAACCTTACTTTGGACAAATGTTCGCTATAAAATTCATCAATTTTTAAATTTTTTGCTAATAACCCTTTGGATATTTAAATATATCTTGCAAGTGTATCAATTTTTAGATCTAATTTTAATAATTCTTATTTTTTTTATTGTTCATAATAAGTTGATGTTATTGCAAATAATTTAGTCTTCAATTTCAATTAATTATTGGATTCTATTATATTTGGATTTAGTTCTGGTTTAGAGTCAACTTATATTCAAATTAATAACAATATATTTATTGAATCCTCATTTATGTCAACAATATAAATGATAAGCCAATAATTTGTATCTTGCAATTTAATGTACTTAAAAATAAGGAATAACAAATTCCAAAATTCAAATTTGTTTCGATTTTTTTCTTAATTTCAGTCAAGTGATCTCCTTATAAGGTTAGACAATGTACTTATTGAATATAATGAAGGATTAATTACTCTCAATCAAGTAAGTTACTTGTTTAACATCAATGGCAAGACCATTATTTTGAACCACTTTTCAATTTATTAAACCAAAAATGTTTATATTCTCTATTTTTTTGACAGCCAGAATATAGAATTAGAAAACTTTGTTTTTGAGAATTCTGAAATCGAAGAAAAGGTATCCGTCTCAATCAATTGCTTATTAAATCAAAATTTTCAAAACCAAATAATATCGATAATTGGGTTTAATACAGTTTCTCTATCTAATTTTAAAATACATTCTATCTAAAGTATGGATCAATCAATAATTAAAATCATGTCTAGTAACTAATATTTCTAAGAATAAACAGGTTAGGTAACAATAATAAATGTTGAGTTTAATGGAAATCTTCTACAATCGCTGAATGAAATCATATATTTTTCACTTCTTACACTTATTTCTGATAGAACCCTTGATATTTTAATTAAAAATGTAGTATTTCAAAATAATATTATGCATACCTACAACCAAAATTCTTTAAAGGATTCAGCAGCATTATTATATATCTCTACTTTTTCAAGTATAATTCTAATAGAAAATTTATAATGCAAATATAATGCAATGACAAATTCTTCCAATTCATTCATTTATGTTGATTCTAAATCCTTAAAAATGAACAATATTTAGGTAAGATTTCACAATATTCTCCCTCTAAACATTTGGAACAATTATTATAATTTGATTTAAGTGAGTTAAGACTAGATTTAGTCACTAATTAAATAGATTTATTAAATAAAAACTATTGGAGGTGCAGCATATATTTAAACATCCAATTTTATATGTATCAACTCGTCTTTTGCGGAAATAATGGCTGCAAAAATTTCAGTATTTGAGATTGTCACTTCAAGCGATGGAACAATAGAGATGTAAAATTTATCTATTTTGTAAATAAGAAATAGTGTTTAGGAAAATGTTGAAAGCGCAGGGTGTTTAAGTATTAATGCTATTAATAGTTTCTTGAATCTTTAAATTAAAAATGCTAGATTTTAGAATATTCAAAATAGAATGTCCTCATCAATAATAACAATAAATCCTTCATTACTTAAAAACAAATTGATATTCTAAAATATGTCGATAATTGATTGTGTTTCATTAAAAAATTAGATTGTTAAAATTTAGTTTATTTCTTAAGCAAATAAATAACATTCCATTTCATTTATAGATTTAATGATTTTCTAAAGTTAAGAATCTTGGGTAAATTTATTTTAGAATATCGGTATTTTGTCTGATTCTGAAATCCTCGAAATAACTGGAAAAGATAACGCAATAATAAATTTAGAGAGTTGTGATGTTACTATAAAAAATCTTATTTTTGAAGGGATGCTTTTTTCTAGTGTAATTATTTTAAATAATATAAATACATTAAATATGGTCAATTGCCATTTTTATTATGTATAGAACGTATACACATAAAATATAATTGTGATTAGTTAGACGGTATAATAAAAGTACTACGTTTCCTTAAGATCTTTCATTTTTTAAAATGGGTCTATGTATTTTGCTTATAATTTTCCAAATTAAGAATACATATAAATATAGACCACTTATTTCTTTTCTGGGTGTTCTATATAGAGCTTTTCGGTTCAATCTTTATAAAAAAATTACTTTTACAGCAATATGATATAATTACTAAAATAAAACTAATAGCAAACCTCGATATTATATGTTAGGAGCTAGTCAAACTTAGGTGTCTTTATTTTTGATAAGATCAAATTTACAAATAATAATTATTCAGCAAGTTAATAGGGAATCATCCACTTTGATGACATCAATTTTAAGAAATTCCAAATTATTAGATTTGATTGTCATTCTAATATTATCAACAAATATGGATGTTTAAATATTATTGGAAATTAAAATGCTTCAAATGTTTTAGAAATTAAAAATTCAAATTTTATTTCAAACCTTGGAACTTAAGGAATTGCAATAAAGAGTAGCGATATTCTATTAAATTTAATCCAATGTAATATTATTTCTAACATTGCGCTTTCATAAGGTGGAGGTTTATATTTGCAACTTTTCACTAAAAAATTCTTCATTTCTAAAACTATCATAATTTGTAATAAAGCACAAGAAGGAGGAGGAATTTATTTTGATTTGGATAATGATCTCTCCATCAAAACCTAAGTTTAGACTTTCATTTATTTCAATCAGGCTGAAATATATGGAAATAATCTAGTTGAAAACCCCAGTTATCTGTCACTATATATCAATTCAAAAGCAATGGCTGCTGTAGAATCTACAATAAACAATATTTCAACTAGTATCCTCAGAATAAATCCATATGTAGTAATGGAACAAGGAATTAGAAAATAGACTGAAATGCTCATGATTCCTAGTACATAAATAATCGATACTTATTAAATATTTTTTGTCAAGAAGGCCTAATATTTAACATACATTAAAAGTTTGAACATTTATTTCAAAAATAGCAAGGGAGAACTACTCCATAATATTTATAATTCAACTTGTGTAGTATCAGATTACATAGTAACCAAAGGATAGGATGATAAATAAAAATCTTCTTCTAATTAACTCCTCCAGTTTTAAGCAGAGAATAATAATTTTGAACTGACTACTTTATCTTTTAGACTTGACCCTTATTTAAAAGAAAATCGTCACTTAGAAATTTAAATATTTTGCTAAACTCAATAATCACAAAATGGTCTTAATTATATCATTAATGCAAAAAGTTTTAAATGTTAGTTAGGAGAATTTTATATTGAAGAGGGCTGTTAGACTTGTAAATCTAGCCAAGGATTTTATAGTGTAACTTATGATGCAATTAAATGTTCAGTTTTTGATAAAACTAAATTTTAGAATATAACTTCTAATATGATAAATTTGCAAAAGGGGTATTGGAGACCTAATTATCTATCAGATGCTAGTGAAAAATGCTACAAAAATACAGAAGTTTGTTTAGGAGGATGGTAAGTAGGAGATAGCACATGTAGTTAAGGTCACATTGGTGCACTCTGCGAAATGTGTGATTTATATAATATAAGAGGACAAGGGTAATTTTTTAAAAATTAATAAAATGTATATTGTGTTTCATGTTCAAATGAGGAGAGCAGCATTCTTCCTTTTGTCTTTGCTTTAATTTAGTATAAAATATTGTTAACTTTAGGGCAATATTATCCATTTCGTTATCACTCAAAAGCATCAACAAATCAAATTCTTTATTCAACTAGCTTACAGTTTTTTAGAAAACTTTTAGTAAAATACTATTTACATTCAATTAAGGTAATTATAAATTTACATTTAGATCATGAGGGTATATTAATTAAGATTTTATTAAACTACTTATGGATATTTTCTTCAATATTTACTTTTAATCTTAGGTTTTCATTTTCTATCTTCTTTATTGAACAATCAAGTAATAGCTTTTATTTTATGGTAAATAATTTAGATTGCTATTTGTCAGATTTATCAATGCATTTAATCTACGCTTAAATTATTTTTATATTATTATTGATGCTGCTACAGTTTTATGTTACGCTTATTATTTCCTTTATTTATTATCAATTATCTTCATAATAAATGGAGAGAAGTATAATTTCAAATACCCTTCTTTGCTTATATGTTTTTAATTACGGAGGATTAATCAAATTGTAAGATTTAGTTTATAAATTAGGTTATGCTCTAAGCTGTCTGTTAGATAAATATCAAATATTGATTACATTTAAGGAGATGTTTCATTATTATTTGATAGTTAAGAACACTATTTGTGGATCTATTTTCTAATCATACCTTTATTACTAATATTTGGTTGCATTATTCCATTTTCATTATTTTTATTGATGTTTCGAAATAGATTTCGCCTATTCAAACTAAAATTTAGAAAACATATCTGTTATTTATTTAATGAGTACAATGAAAAACAATATTTTTGGGAATAGATTAAGTTGATTTAGAAGACATTTATAATATTAGTAATAACTAATTTTGAAAACAATGTGTTATTAAAGACAACTTTACTAGGCATATGCTTAGAAATATATTAAGTCTTAGCTAATAATAGTAAACCTTATATTATTTCGAAATTTAATAATTTAGATTTAGAATCAGGGTAAATTTGCTTAATAGCCATTTTTCTTGCAGCTACTAAATATGAAACTTAAGTCCTACAAAATGATTTTTTTTCCATGTTACTTTAAATCATTTTGATTATATTATTATGTCGACTAGGTCTTCCTTTTATTAAAGAGATTGTCATTATTTATTCCAAAAAATATTCCTTACCAATTTTGACAAAGTTCCATCCGGCGTTGAAATAATCAAATATAAAGTTGTTTAAATTTATTGGAATGTAATTGGATTAAGAATTGGAAAAAAGAAAAAAATTATAAATGAATATTTAAAAAATAAGATTTTTCTTATAAACTAAGTTTGGAAGAGGAAAAGAAGTAATGTAATTATTTTATTTATTGTAAGATTTTTTACCAAAAGAACAATTCTTAAATCGAATACAAATAGCAAGGCATCTTTTATCGAGATTAATAATTAATTATAAATTTGAGTATTTATTCAATATCAATTTGGTTAATAACTTGTTTTTAATTAATATTTTAATCTTTTCAAGAATTTCTAATTTTTGATTTAAATTTATATAATTTCTATCTCTAAAATTAAGTATTTGTCTCAGGATTATCTGAAAATTATTGGAGTTTTTGAATATCGGGATAATAGATTAGAGAAGTAGTCCTTGATATTTGACTTAACTCATAGTTAAGAAGCTTATTGATGGAGAAGATAAAACTTGGTTTGAGAACTTAACTCTAACCATAAATATTAGAATTTCAGGTTTACTTCGTGTTGTCAAAATTTTATTGAATATCTCAATAGGCATACATTCGAAAAGTGAAATGATATTGCGTAGTGTCAATTATTTATACTGCTTAATAAGTTATTTAGAATAGCTAGGAGAGGCAACAATTACTCCAACCAATTACCTAATATATACAATTAAGAAAGGCCTTACTAACCTACTTAATTTTATATATTTAAAAATTATAAATTCTAATTCCATTCTAAAAAATTATTTTCATCTCTTTCAATTATTGATAGTTTAAATTTGATCTTACTTTGTTTCTCGCTCATAGTAAGATTTTAATTAGGCTGAAGAAGACTACTTCGTCAATATCTTTAGATAAAGCTATAATAACATACTCTTCTTGCAAATTCGTAATATTTTTTTAATTTTATTGAATTTCTATTATTTTGAATTTTATACTAAAACTTTGTCTAAATTTGAGGTAATGTAAATTATTATAGTGACAACTCACATAAACTTGTGCATTACTTGATTCTTTTTGAGTATAGAATACAAACACTAAACAATTTCTAAGAACATTTTCATAGAATATACAATATTTTTCATTCGACACATTAGTACCATAAGTACTTATCAATAAAAATTTCATGTTTATCATAATGTACTATCGTAATTTATATAGAGTATATTCCCTTAAATTTATTCTATCATGCTTTTTGATAGTAAATATACCTTAGGAGAAGATAAAATTCAAGTAAAATAAATCTAATTGGATTATTTAGTAAACATTCTCAACAAGCGATTGTGATTGAAGGGAAAATTATCATTGTATGATGAATCCTAATCATTTAATGAAAGATAGAGTTCAAAGAACTTTAGTCAGGGTCCTTCATAAGTTAATATAATACATCGCTTGAAGAAGAGAGAAAGCAGCCCAGAGAAACTAGAGTTTTTTTGAGCATTTTTTGAGGATAATCTTCGGAAAGAGTCTTGAAGACAAAGCATTTGAGATGCTCTTCCTTTGGAATTCGGATCTTAAGACCAGACAACCAAGAAAGAAGAATGATCAAAGGATGGTTGACTTTTCGCTGGATAAGAAAGCCTAATATGGACCCAGAGAAGACCTGGAGGATCTTATAAAGAAATATGAAATTGAACAAGAAAGAGAAATGAAGTAAAATATAAGGTCCCAAAGGCCCTTAATAATTAACTAAAAAATTGAGGTAAATCAGAAGAGAAGATGGATTTACTTTTTCAATATTTTATATAAAAGAAGATTTTGAGAACCTTTAGAATGTGCAGCAGATTTCATCAGGTACCAAATCTGATGACTACATTGGGGAACATTTTTATCAACTTGCAATCCATTCTATTAGTGATGAAATAAAACTATCGATGATAATTGTTTTTATCTTCTCCTGAATGTTCAAAATACTTATCATATTCTACCAGCGCTGCTTCATTGCATTGTCTTCCACAACAACTATTTATCTTCTCCTTTATCCACATCTTTAAGGAGATGCAGATGTCAAACGATATTTTTTTCTTAAGATGCATAGAAAGGCTTATTATGTATATTAAGCATGTAACAACATATAAAAAGTAATGTTAAGTATTCAGTAGGCATGTCGCAAGGTGGTATATGATGTAAACATGCGAAATAAGGAGCTTAAATTAGTCACATCAAGAGCTTAAAGTGCATCAACAGCATATGTTCCATTAAATTTAATATTGTAATTGATTGTTTGAGGCTTAAAAGTCATAAAAACATACTGTAAAATTTGTGCCAAATTAAAATTATTTTTGACATTAATATATTTAAGTGGTAAATTTAAATAGGAGAAACTTTTGACATTTAAGCAAAAGGACTTATATATAAGGTGAATTATCAAAGTGGTCTAATTTTACTAACATGCTGTTAGGAAACATAGTTAATGAAAATATAAGCATCATTGCATAATCTAAATATGTAAAGAAAGTAGCGTAAAGGCTATTCATTTATTTATAGAAGGTGAAGTAAGAATAAAAGATGAGTACAGTAAGTTAACATTTAGCTGCAGTAAAAGAGCAATTGATCTGCTGAATCTTTCAGCAACCGCTTTATAGCTAAATTTCAAAGGAAGCACTTTTGTTATAACAATGTATAGTTATATATATTTATGATTGTTAAAGTTTGGTGGAAAAAATTTATTATGTTCATATTATTGTCCATTAACGTAATTTCTTTCATTATCAATACAGGCGATGATAATATAGTTATTTCCTATGGAAGAATGAATGGGTCTGTCTTTTCTAAGATAAGCTAGTTGGAGCTTAGAAATTGTTCAATTCTTTTTACTTCTTCCATATCTTTCTTATTTTCGTTAGTACTTCTAAAATTACAGGATATCTATTAGTCCATCCTTAATTTTTCTCTAAATCTCTGCTTCTTACCGATTCTGAATCCGATAGTCTTTCTTCCACCACAAAGGTTTGGTTAAGCTATTGTTTTAATTTCTATCCTTCTAACCTTAGAACTTTCTGTTGAGTTTTCCCTGCTTTTCTTGGTCGTTACCTACATGAACTTTTTCCTTCCTCTTGCCATGCTTATATATATTTTATTCTTGCTTCTCCTTTAGAAATTTATAACTTTAGGCTGAGAATCAGGTGTAATATTTCCAACTTTAGCACTTTAATTCAAGAGAATTTCTTATAGCCTCTTGAACTAGCATATTAGGGTATATGACATAAATTGATATAAATGTTATAATGGTTTGAATTTTTAATGGCTTATATGGATAAAGACGTTATAAACTTCTATTTAGTATTTTAAGAAAAGTGCTATTTAATATTTGGATATGTTGGATATAAAGGACTTTCATTTATTAGAACTAAAGCAAGATATAAGAAAATGGGTTAGAAGACCAAAATACAAAATTCTCTCATTAATATCGAAGCTTTTTAAGCGTCAAAATTTGATCCTTAATGTGCTGCTTATAAATATACAAGTTAAAAGACAACAGCAGGCTACATTGCTGATTTAACATAAATTACATAACTTAGATTATGCTCAGCAGGTCTTAATGTTTCATTTTTAAACCTTTTCTGTAAGCAATAGTTAGTATCTCAGTAGTATCAATTATATCTCCGGAAGAGAAACTGATTAAATTGTTCACCAAGTCAAATTAATAACTAATTTTCCTTGGACCTAACCAAAATAAATGAACTGCATATAGTTTATATTTATAGCTAAATACTCTAATAAATAATCCAATGTGGAAATCATTCATAATGTATCAGGATCATTTTCTCTATTCTGAAATTTTTCTATTTTAAATACTAGCAATTTTTTAGTAAACTTTACATATCAAAATATTTTTGGTCAGCATCTTTAAATAGATACCTTTGACTTTGATATGTTTTTAAATATTTTTACATCTATTTTTTATATGATAAATCATTAATGAAATGGGCAAAAAAGTTTTGATACTAACGTCCAGAAATAGTTTGTTGTGAGAGTTTGGAATTCTTTGAAATGCATAGATCAGTACACAATTTTTTTAATAGTTAAAATTAAAGTGTCCTTTCCAATTGAATTGGTTTAAATATCTTAGAAGAGGTATTAAAATAGTTTAACGTGAATGATTCCTGTATTTGATGTCCAACTCAAAATTTCTTAATTGTATTGGTTATATAATGTGTAAAAATCTCAATCCCTCCATCAATACTTATATTTGTGTCAACTCCAGAACCTACTGCATAGAATCCTTAACATAAGAATTATTTTCACGTTAATTTTTATTGTTATAGAATTAATCATCTAGTATTTTGAACATAACTTTTCATGTCTTGTTAATTTTATTTCATCTCATAATCCTCTTTTCTTGTCTTCTTTAATTCTTAGATCAATTACCTTTCCCTACTTATATACCTTATCAATATGTCACTAGAGTTTCAAGTAAAACTGAAATTAATTATTCAAGCCATTTTGGATAAAGTAGGATGACATATCATATCTGAAAACTTTGAAGAGAATTGGCATAATTTATAGTCTCTCCATCTTTGTACAAGATAGTTTGAGAAGGAACATTAACTGTGATTAATGGTAGCTAATAATTTTTAATCTATCACTTAGCAATGTTCTGTTGCATACTTATTTATAAATACATTTTTTCCGACCAAGTTTTGGCAGATTAATTTCAGTCTGAACTAACATCAATATTATTTATGTTTTAGTGCTTAATTTCCAATCCACTTATAGTCATCATCATTCCATTCTATAATAATAATAGCTAATCTTATTCCACTTATTAGGAGCTCACTTGATTTATATTTCAAGTCCTGTTTTAAGTAATGATATTAATCACATCTTTCCGTCTCTCTTTTAATAACAATTTAAATAAATGTTTCAGTAATTTTTAATCAAAACATATGTTAATTTGATAGTTTAATTCACTTTACCACAAAAGGATAACTTATAAAGAGGGAAAGATTATGTTAAACTACTAATGATTAGAAATAGGGAGATACAAACCAAATAATCTATCAATTGATTTTATCTGTAGTGATAATAATCCAATACAGAATGCAAGCAGACTAATCAATAATATTCTTAATCATTTTTACATTATCTTTAAATACTTAGTTATTGTAAATTTAGTTGTTGGATTTGTTGTATATTTTCTCTCAATTGCAATAATAAAGTTTTAGAATATACTTCATATATAAATATTGTAATAGAATTAGGATTCCAATTTTAAGCTGTAATTCTATTATCTATTGTAATATAAAAAATTTAATTAAAGAAGATGGGTGCAAGATCTGAAGGGCTATATGGTAAATATTTAGTAAAGTACAACAATGGAGTATATGATGGAGAGTTTTTAAATGGGGAAAAGCATGGAAATGGACAATTTAAGTGGGATAATGGAGAATAATATAATGGAGAATGGAAATATGATAAGTTGACTGGAAAAGGATAATTTAAATTTGCTAATGGAAATATATATGATGGAGAGTTTTTGAATGGTGAAAAGAATGGAAAGGGCCATATGAAATTTGCTAATGGATCTTTCTATATTGGAGATTGGAAGGACGATAAGTTGAATGGAAAAGGTCAATTGAAATTAGCAAATGGAAATTTATATGATGGAGAGTTTTTAAATAATGAAATGTAGGGAAAGGGACTAATGAAATGGGCTAATAACGCCTAATATGAGGGGGACTGGAAAAATGATAATAGAGATGGGAAAGGTGAAATGAAATTTCCTAATGGTAGTTAATATGTTGGAGATTGGAAAAATGATGCAAGAAGTGGAAAGGGTCTAATGAAATGGGCTAATGGAGATTAATATGATGGAGATTGGAACAATGATGAAATAAGTGGAAACGGTATCTATAAATGGGCTAATGGAGATGAATATGATGGAGATTGGAAAAATAATGAAAGAAGTGGAAAGGGTCTACTGAAATGGGCTAATAAAGCTATGTATTATGGGGATTGGAAAAATGGTAATCGAGATGGAAAAGGTCAAATGAAATTTTCTGATGGATCTTTATATGATGGGGATTGGTTCAATGATTTAAGGCATGGACATGGGGATTATAAATCAGATAAAGGTGTAAAATATAATGGTAAGTGGTTGTTTGACAAATAAATGTGAAATTTAGAATTTATTTATATCATCCATATATTAATATTGCTAATTCCACATTAAAATAAAAATTTCATATAGTAAGTTAATATTCTATTCTATAAACAATGAGTAAAATAAATTCACTACAAGACTACAGCACTGCCATCAAGTTGAATCCAAACAATCTAACACATATCATAACCAAGTTATATCAATAAGTAATTTAGTCTGGATTTTATTTAATGAATAAGGAGAAGAAAAAGAAAAGAAAAAGCGGTCCAAGACTATAATCACGCTTTCCAGAAAAGAGCATTACTTACTTACTGAGGAAGTTGTTATTTTAAAATCGATACTCAAACCCTTTAATTTGTGAATGACAACCTTATCTTACTAAAAGAAAACTAAATTCAATAAAAACAACTCATCTTTAACTAGAATATTTATCTAATTTTTATAAAGATAGTAGGCTAATTAATTAGAAGAATGAGCCAAGAAGGTTGAAATGAGAGAAAACCTAAATAACTAATTAAATAGAAATCCTAAATAAGTTGATTATTAT